TAGCGCTCTTACCAGCACATTCGATGAGATCCGCAGGAGTGTCTCCTTCGCACATACAAGCATATGGGCGATCGTGCCAGGGAGTCTCGAGAGATCGTTCCGTTTTACGGTAAACTGCTCGTGGCAGGCACATTTGATCACAACCAGAATCACGACACTAAAATTGCTTCTTTTTGCAGCGATAAGATTTTGCCGAAAAGAATTTCATACTAACAGTCAGGAAGAAAAACTTACCTTGTTCTCCATATGTGGCTGTGCCAACTTATGATAAATCCTCACAGTCATTGGAGTTGACACTTTTTGCATAACAGTTCGCATTTCTCCTCCGGTAAACTTGAATTAAAAAATTATTAAGATGAGCCAAAGATCATTTACAACATGCACATACCTTATTGATGGTTATGACACCGTCATGTTCCCAATCAGTATAGTAGATACGATCCTCAAAAACAGCAATGGAAAATGGATGCCGCAGATACTGATGCGAATGGAGGATGATCTGAACAACAGACGTCATTTTTTGAAGCACGAGTCACGATCATTCAAGAACCGACCCACGAGCTTGAAAAATGATGGCATAAAAAACGTAAAAGGGAGAAAAAACTAAGAAAAGAGTGATCACCTTCACGTCATGTCCCCAGTAATCACAAGAGAAGATAGATTTCACTTTTGCGTCCGCCCAATACACGCGTTTATCAATGTAGTCGAGAGCAAGACCGTTAGGCCATTTCACTCGTTCGCCCTTGACGATGACCTTAAAAACATCGAACTAGTAAGAAACAGTCACCGCTAGAATTGAAATAAATTTGTCAGGTAAAGTTTTTGGAAAACATTTTCCGAGACCATCACTTTCAGCCCAAGTGAGGTACATAGAAAGAGGAAAAGTAAAGAAGCCTAGTTTATACGAGTCAGATAAAGGGAACGGCCACATTATTTCAGTGATTCCTGCGATTCCTCCGATTCCTGCAATTCCTGGAATGAATGCCAAGATTTAGGGATGTCTGGGAATCGCGGGAATCACAAGGATTGCAGGAATCAGAAGAATCGCAAAAATCACTGGAACAGTATGGCAGCTCCCAAAAGGTCAAGAAAACTACAAACCGTTCTGTGTTGTCCATCCATACCAGCACGTTCAATGCGAGCTTCTTTGCCCCAATCTGTCCAGAAGATCAAACCCATCTCCGGATCTACAGCTATTGCTCGAGGTTCTTCCAGACCATCGGAAAACAAAACTCGCTTGCGACGAGTTTTCAGATCCATTACATTAACCTAGAATAATAAAAAATGTGCAAGAAGGTAAATTATTGTTTTATCTACTCATTACCTGGTCTAAGCCACCATCAGTCCAGAAAAGAAGGTTGTGAATCCAGTCCACAGCCAAGCCATCGGGAGTATGCACATCCGAATCGATAAGAATGCTCTGCTCACCTTCGGCACACTAAAAATGGATATACTATGACTATGCCACTGATGCAATTTTGAAATAACCAACCTTCTCCCTAACTGCCAAGTGATGATGGACAGAATCGTTACCAATCTTGCACATCAGGATCTTTTGTAGAGCGATATCCGACCATACCAAGGTCTAAAACAAACGGTTCAATTTCTTTAGAGAAAAATAAAAGATGAGTAGAGCAGTACCCCATTGTCATGATGGAAATCCATAGCAACAGCAGATCCTGGGCTCTGTATAAGTGGGATATGTACGTTTGTGACCAGATCAAATTGTCGTATGGTTGCCCTGAAAGCGAAAATCCAAATTTGAATTTGAACCTCAAAAAACAAAATTCATCTGGATGCACATAGAATTAACAAATCAAACTTTTTACCTGTTGCTAAGCAAAAGAAGCGGATCGCCACCCATCGCACGGCATCTATTGGGAACAGAAGAATTATGACTTCTGCTAAGCTTGTAGTTGTGATGACAGCGGCATACGTAACTGCCAGGAGTGTTTTCACAAATGTGGTCGCATATACCAGGTTGTTCACATTCATTAATATCTAAAAAA